CCTCCGCAGATTCCGCCGATGCTTATAAATTAACACTTAAAACATTAATGTATATGACAGGCAACAAGAAAAGACGATGAAGGCGTGCGAATATGCACCAGCCGCTTTTACGGGCTATTGTGCGTGCACGCCTTTAGAACTGGAAGCAATAATCCACAGCAACCGTCCGTTCCCCGCAGCACAGGATCCGCACACGGGCAACCTAACCTCGCCTGTCACAGATGCACTGCGTCAGGCGTCTCGCAACTCTGAAATATCGCAACGCGGAAAATAACTCCCTCGGCTTCCGCGGGGCACTCTCCGCAGTGGAAAGGGCCACCCCGGGAATCCGTCAGGAAAATCCGAATATCCTCGCACAGGGCGCGTCGCCCCGCCGCAGCACCGACAGTGTCGGTTCTTTGCGTCGCTCACGGACACCCTACACACATGCAACGTTCCGGCCCGCGCGTCCCGACGATTGCCGCGCAATCACGCATGCAAGCATGCATGCAAATTAGGTCAAGTACGCGCGTTCCCCGGCAAGGCGATAAGGCCGCAATCACCGTTACAAAAAGCACATCCACTCCCGGCTGCCACCCGGCCGCGCGTCGAGACGCGTCGCTTACACGGAATCGCCACGCCCGTATCTACACTCTCGGTGCAGGCACGACTCGCCGTCACCGCAGACAGCAGATCCCGCAGGTGTCAAGTACACAACGCCACACGTCACTCTCGGCTTGCTTTTCAGGTTATAGGCCCCCGCAATTTATGTCATAAGTCCCCCGTGTTCCCGCTCAAAGTATGTCACAGACGCACGAGAGCACGAAATCTACGTTTCAACGCGGCGCGGACGACGGAAAATCCCGACCTCGCTTTAACAGGTTAATTACTCGAATAGATGTAGGGATCCGCTAAGGTACTCCCGCTAGCACCGTGCTAAAGGGACGCACACTGTAATCACATTCACATTATAAGGTGTGAAGACAGCCAGGCATCTCGAGTGTCACTCCTCCGCACGCTCATTCCATATATTCCGTGGAGGCACCTCGCAAAAACAGGTCACCGATGCCCGCCCGTCAGTGCAATAGGCATACACAAACACAGGACGGACACGAGTATCCACGGTAAGATCGGCAATCCGGATGTCATCTCCACAGGTAGCCCGCATCAGATGCCAGCAACACCGTACTGGCGCACCTACACCGTGCATTAGAGCACGCTCGCGCACCAGGGTACCGCGCCCGTAGAGACACGGGCGTAGGATCTCTTATTATATTTTACACTACGATTTCACGTCTGTCAATGAAATTCCAGCAGCTCGTTGCTGCAATTATCATTAATGATTCCCGTATTATTCGTGCACGACAGAGTAAGAAATTTCTTCTACTCTATCGTACTTGACGATTAAATCAACTCAGATCAATAAATCTATTACTCGCGTGTAAGTATGCTTCTCCGTCGATGGGGTGAGGCCCCAATTATTCCGCGTGATTATACAGAACCAATTCTTTCACCCGATGCACCTTATGGTCGGTCAGTCACTAAAAGGCACTGATTCCTCGCGTCCGCGTGAATGAGGGCTCACACAGCGTGAGTATTGCCCTCGCGGCGACGTCACACACAGAGATCCTACCTCAAATAAATCAGCCCATACACAGAATCCGCGAATACAATCCCGTCATCCCGCTGGAGAGAGAAGGCAGGAGACAGGCACAAGGCGCCGAGCGACGCCAGTATAATCGTCCCGTCAGCTGTCAATAGCAGAGGGAGACCGCGAACCCCTGACGCCGACAGGGCACCCCGCAAGGCAGCTTGACACCTCCGTGACGGAGGAGCAGCTGACCACCGGTCCGCCGACCAACCCAAGCACTACAGGGGGGGAAAAACAAGCAATTCTCACAGCAGCGCAAAGCCCGTCAATGCAAGCATGCAAGCACTTAATCCATGCGAAGGCTCATCGGTTCGCGGCGAAAGCCGCCATTCCATGCGCACTGTCACCGTCACATGCACAGCGCCACCACGCGTTCACTTTCGTGCAACGCGGTTATGTCACGCCCATGCACCTCTACACGCATGCAGTGCAGCACACTCCACACTGACCACCGTCCAGCGCGAAACGAGGCACGCCCGGGTGGTCGATCCCCGAGCACGTGGCGCGCCCGCCAGAGAGTATAGAAACTCGAGATCGCGCACGCCACTAAGGGCTCATACGCATGAACCCACACGAGGCAGAGTGTACAAAAGTACACACCCCGACACGAGACACCACCGCGACGCGATTTAACTCTATTTAAAAGTAATATCCATTAATTCCGGACCGTGAACATAGCTCACACCAACGATAACGTTTCGGCACTAGATTCACTAACAGCGGTATATACCGCGAAGGTTCCGACACGCTGTCGGTGTCTTCCCGCGTTTTTCCGAGCACGTGTCAGTTATATAACACACCGCCCGGCCCGCACATACATTTCACTCTTACTCCGGGGCAATTCCAGAATAATGCAGGCCGCGATACCACACGTCACTAAACGAAATACTCGCGCGCGGTTTTATGCCTGGGGCCTGAAAAAGGTCCCCGATAAAGGTACTTTCCTCCGCGTTACCGCGATCTGCCCGGCGCAAAGATGACAGCCATCTTGGGCCGGGGGATACCCCCACGTTTATCGGCACTGGAAATTCGTGAATTTCTCAGCTGTTATCAATCTCACGACCACAAAACTCCGCGAATCGATGCAGAATCGCACGCCGCACACGATAAGTACACACACGACGCGCAAAACGCGTTTTATCCGCACGGGCGTGTGTGGAGAAGGCGGAGCGCCACGGAGACACATCCACACGACTCGACACACACGAGACGACCCCCTCCGAATGTTCCACCTAGGAAAGCTCTTAGGCACACTCTGCCCCGCATCTGCACCTTTTGCCCCCAGCCCCAGAAAGATATATCTGTGGTCAGAGAGGGACTCCATCCAGGTCGCCACCCCCCAAGATCGAACCAGCGGAAGAGCCGCCGGTGACGCCCATGAAAGATCCACAACTGAACTACCCTGAGGTCGCACACAAGTCGGCTCCAGTCCGACATTTAACAGTCTGAGGTCATGAGCCGCTGCCCAGGTCATCATAACATCCCCACGAGTGGTGGAGCGGGTGTTGTCCCAGAGATGATAGCGCGCGTTAAAATCCCCCATGATCAGAAGCGGACGATTCAGGTATCCCTCAACAGCGTCACCAATCTCCGAGAGGAAAGCCCTAAACTGATTAGTGCTCTTATTCGGTGAAAAGTAGCACGAAACGACAGTGAACTCCTCCCAAGCGACCATCACAAATCCAATGCCGCGAAAGACCGTGCGAAAAATCCGCGGCACCAGCGGGCCCTGACATGTGACAGCCGCCATCGGTTTTTCCTCGCTAGAACAGGCCCATCGAGGATCTCTTGGAACCCGGTACGGCTCCGAGACGCAGGCCAGACCACAGTTCTTATCAAACATTACCTGCGCCATCAGGTCCTGAGCTCCATAGGACCCATTTAGGTTGATCTGAGCGATCCTAACCAACTTCCATCTCAGTGGCCCTCTCACTCCGATCGACCCTAGTTTTCCCTCGACGCGGACTCCTGGCCGGTTCCCTCTTTGGCGGGCATGGTGGGCAGGTATCCGCTCCAGCTCTATGGGCAGATGGAAGGCCCCGCTCCTTGCAGACTGGACAGCAAGTCGGCTTTCCGCACTCTCGAGCCACATGCCCAGGCTCACCACAATTAAAGCAATTGCTCGTCCTGTCCACGTCACTGGGACACCTCTCACGGACGTGGCCCACCGCCAGACATCGAAAACACTGGAGTGGCCTTCTCTTGAGTAGCTCCACCTTCGCCGTAGACCATCCTACTCGTATCTTCCCCGATTCCGCCAGGCTGATTGCGGCATCCAACGGGCACTGCAGCCAGATTGTTCTTAGACCATTCCGGGCCAGACGCATTGCTCCCAGCCGCACCTGATCTCTGGCGCACTTCCCCACACTAGCTACTTCCTCCACAAGTTCTTCCGGCAGAATGGAGCCGTCCAAACCGGACAGCCTCAGCTCTCCCCTGATAGTAGGCCTGCCGACTCGAACTCCAGTATCGCGGAAAGCGTCCCTTAACCTGGTTGCCAATGCGTCAGCAGCCCGGGAGGTATCCGCCCCTGGGATCTCAATTAGGATGTTTCCGGAGACAGTACTTCGCATCCTGGTGTCCGCAATGCCCAAGTCCTCAAGTACGATGTGTTTCTTCGCTTCCCTAATGGCCTCTGAGTACGTAGGACCGCTCTCCGGACACACGAGGGTGACCGCCGATGACCGAGGAGCACGTCTTTTTGGTGTTTTAGGAGCCGCCCTATGCATCCGATTGCGTGCAGTCATTTTTGCAGCACCCTCGTCGCGCTTCTGGTTTGCATCAGACTTCGGTCCATTAGGAGGAGCTGGGACATTCCCTCTAGGAACCGGCAGCGGCGGATAATCTGCCAACTCTCGGAGTCTCTCCGCCTTGTTCTCTCCCGATATTGGCTGGGAAGCCGCTTCCTCTCGCGTGGCACGGTGTTTCTCCTTTTTCTTTCTCGCGGACACTGCAGGCCGCAGAGGACCATCCTCCTCAGTGTCCGGCGCAAGCGGACCAGGCTCAACCGACGACAAGTCCTGTCCCTCCATTCTTTTTAGGCTCTCTCGGATATCACGAGGCCGTTCTCTGCCCTGCATCCCATCTCCAAGGGCACCCAACGCAAGTAGCTGCGTACGGAGTGCACTTTCCATGGCCCCACTAATGGTCGCCGCCATTCGATCAAAGAATGCTTCGCCCAAGATATTCTCCACTCCAGACGGGGCCGGAAACTGCTGAGCTCTCAGTGACGCACGGTCAGCGACCCCCGAAAGCAGACCCATATCACTATTTATGCTAGCCTCCATCAGCTCTCTCAAAGGCGCAGGAGACACCAACAAAGCCCCAGGGGACTTCACAGGTCCGGGCTTATCAGCCCTCGCGGGCGCCTCCCTGATCAATGCCCCACTCCGCAAGTCCTGCACCTGTAGTTTGAGCTGCTCGTTTTCCTCCTTGAGCCCAGTGACCTCCTTCTGCAGTTCCATCAGTTTGGAACGAAGGAAGCCAATGTCTCCCTCCGCAGCCGTCCTCATGGCGAGAATCTTAATTACCCCCGCCACGGAACTGACATTGACTTTAATTTTCTTGTTCAAGGAACCCTTGATGTTCCCCGACTTCATTCGGCAATCTTCAGTTTCCTGAAGCCACTCCATGGCTAGGGCGGCCATGTCTGAGGAAGATAACAGCTCAATCCCTTTTAGCCTAGAATCAATCTCTTTCCTTTGATCAGTCTTCAGCCTGCCCCTCGGAGAGTCATGTGCTTCCGCAGCGTTCTCCGCCTCCGGAGAGCTCTGGAACGCCGAAGTCCTTTTTCTTTTAGGGGCAGTCAACTTCCGGCGGATGACCGTGTCCGACGAGGATGAGTCTCTACTCGGTTCCGCACCCAAATCGGAAGAGACCATCTCGGTATCTCTACCTCCAGGCGTTGTGGGCCTAGAGAGCTCGCTAATTTCCATAGTGGAGACAACCTCAACCTCCCGGTTCTCCGGTGTAGCCGACCGACTTCCCCTTCCCCTTGGCGGTTTAGCCGGTATCGGGGCCTCCTGTACTTGCTCTTGAGTCGTCTTCTTTCCCACAGGCGATTGAGCCGCTTCACCAGTGGTGCCCGGCCTCAATCCTTTTTTGAAGTTGCCAGGGTCGATC